AAAAAAAAAAAACAAGCCAAGAAAGATGGAAAAAAAATGTTGCCCATGGGGTTAGTTGTATTCTCCAAATGAATTGATGAATTTTGGCATTTGCATATGAATATGGATGCATTAAATGCACAGTAGAAATGATCATGTGTGTTAGATCATATTTTATATTTGGCACATTTTATAAAATTCATTGTAAATATCAATCTTTTTCATGATCATGATGATGCTATCAAGATTGAAGATTCGAAAGTATCATTGATGGGAGGTGATCAAGTGTCAAAATTACATCATTCACACTCTGATTTCACCTTCAAGCTAAAGATAAAGGTAATAACTTAGATACTTAAGATGAACCCTTAGTTATTTAACTTAGGAAGCAATCCATGTATAGTTCATAGGTGATTTTAAAAGAAAAGATTGTCTAAACCACTTTGTGTTTTGAAAATATAGATTTGGTCATTACATCCATGGTGTTTGTTAAGGTATAAGACTTGAATATTTGTATATTGACTTTGTGAATAGTGAATTAGGTTTTAGTGAACTCCGAGTGGTTCTCCACGGTGTTTCCCTCGGAAGGTTTTCCGCGTCAATAAATTGTTTATGTTCATCTTGTTATTTATATATACACTTGCAATTGTTAGCACACTTGCGCAATATCTGTTTAATGATTTGAATGCTCAACACATAAATCAACCATAGTTACAATTAGGTTTGGGTTTTGGGACCCCCTTGACATTGATCATATGAGTAAATTAATTAAAGATTAATTAACATCGATCGTCAAGGGTATAAGAGTTTGTGGTGACTAAAAGGGGGTTTCACACTAAATTGTTATATCTTTGCATGAAGATGTAATTGAGGTCGAACTAGATTTTAATTGGCAATCAATTGAGTTAAAAATTGAAAAACCTATCACCCCCTCTAGGTAATGTCGTGCACTCTACGTGTACAATCGTGAGAGAAACTCCCTCCTTGAACAACAATGTATTATTCATATTTCTAGCATTTAAGGATAAAATTTGACACAAAAGTTTAATTAAGGTTAAAATAAAAAAACCAAAATTTTTTATGTTGAGAGACTTTTATAAGTTGTATAGATTATGTCCATTTTCTGTCGATTGTTTAGTTGTAATGATTGTTTTTTCCTGGTGATTACTTGATTTAATGTTTAACCAATTGTTTATTTACGTTGATTCACACAATGTTCAACCAATTTCATTCACTGGCTAATCCTGATAAACTCTCCATTCAGAAATTATAGCTAAAAAGTTGGCAGTGTGCACTTCTGAATGACAGTGACACTGAGTGTATTGTTTCCAACATTTAGTTTTTTTGTTCATTTGGGATTGTCCTTTGAATATCACTATGGTATCTGGTGCCATGCAAAACCATTTACTCTATGGTATTTGTTAACGTCACAAGATCATACACCATATGTTTTCATTTGATACAACTCTCAGCTTCATCGAATATTGCAATGCCAATCAGTTTCAACTATTTTTTTTAGTTCAATGATTAAGGGTGTCCAAGTCAGTTTACATCTATCTCAACTAATTCTCTTTCCGAATCGGTCAAAAGTAGGCTATCCACACTGGAACCGGTACCAAACAGTTGCAACTATTTTTTTTTTCTAGTTCAACGATCAAGGGTGTCTGATTTAATTTACGTGCACCTCAACTAATTCCCCTCTTCGATTCGGTCAAAAGTAGGTTATCCACATCAGAATTAAAATTTTCATGAGAGATAAATCTCTTGTAACCTGATCCTAAGAAATTGTCTTGATTACGGGTGATTACAGTTGTTATCATCATTAATAGTTGTTGTCGTTTTTACCGCGATCCTATTTAGCTTCTCGCCATTTGAAAACAAATAAATACAAGTTACCAGACATCAAACACCCAGTGCCATTGACAAAAAAAATTTCTCTAGTCTTGACCAACAAAGTATTCAATTTAGATGCACATTGGTGGCTCTTGCCAGATGAACAAAACGTGCCAATAATTTTTCTCATAATAACAACCTGTATGGCTTATTTTTGTCTAAAACAACTAACAACCTGGAAAGCAAGCTAATCAATGGAGCATCTAAAAAATATTTAAATAGAGGAATGGTATTTGGACTTACAAATTTGATATAATTTGTTAATTTAATGATATAGTTTTAGTAAAATCATTGGAATGATACTAAATTCTAATGTTGATATGATCTACGGTCATTTCAAAAGTCATAATGAATTAGGTCTCAATTGTATTGTCATGCCTCGAATTTCCACAAATCTGAGGAGTAAGTGTAAAGGAAGAAGAAAAGTAAATGAAAGGTAATTAGGTTGAATAAATTGGTTTCTCATTCATTTCCCATGTTTTCTTAGTGTTTTAAGCCACTTTTTTTTTTCCCTTTTTAGCCTCTTTCTTCAAGGTTTCTAAACCCCCCCTTTTGAGATCCTTCCCACCTATTTTAAAAGGTGTTTTACATACTTAACAAGTCTTTTAATTTTTCATAAGAAAATTTAGTAGATCCATATATTCTAATGACTAAGCATTAGATCATACAAACAATGTCCAACAAGTTTTTGTACTTGGCACTTGATCTTCAGTAATTTTTATTAGACAAATATCAGTTCTGCTTTCTTTTTTATTTTCCACTCTTCATACTAGAAATTAATCTTAGTGCCCAAGTTCTTTCTCTCTATCTAGCAACTAAGAATACAAGAAAAACTTCAAAACAACTAATTGTAAGGATGAAATAGATAGTGGTGTAATTGTCCCACATAATGTATTAAATATTTGTTTGACCAATATATTTTTGAGTTTTCTTATACAACAGTTCCAATAACCCTGTATTTATAGATACTATGTAATACAAAAAACTAAATATTGATCGTGTAATATTTATATTTTAAATAATAATTTATATTTAACTACGAAATTTAAAACTAAAGTAAATGTTGGAAATAATGGTATATTTATTTTTAAAAAACCATTGAGTAGTGAATGAGAATTATTAAAGTCTTTGTGACTTTTGGGAGCAATAGAAAAAGTTGTTAAAGACTGTGATTTTTGGGAGCAATTGAAAATGTGTGAAGTGAATATGACATGAAAGACTACTAATTTAAAATTGGTGACTTTTAGTTAAAGACATCAATCCAAATAATTACATCTTTTCATAAAGTCACCATTAACTCATTTTGGTTAAAAGACATCATTACAAATAGTCACAACTTTTTATAAGGTCATTATGGATATCTCCTGGACTAAAAAACATCATTTCAAATGGTTGTACCTTTTCATAAAGTCANAAGTCATTATGGATATCT